GCGATACTGTTTGTACCACCTGTACTCTACTCGAACATCGTGCGCCTCACTCTTTGCTAGTAATATGCATCATCTCCACCACTCAGTGTCATACCCTACCCCCATAGGGCTCGACACTCAAGGCTACCCCAACCAACGCCCTGCCGATGTTGGCATCTCCCTCAATTCCTCCTGCCTTCGACCTCCACCTACCACTCCATCCTCCTTCCTTGCCATCGACATTACTGTTACCAGCCCTCCCGAATCCTCTTGTGCCCGGTCTGCCTCATCAAATCCCCAAAACCCTTTCCCATGGCCCATCTCAAGTCAATCCGAAGTAAGCTCACAACAAAATCTCGCACTGTCCCTGCTCACTACTTTACAGCTCTCCAAAACCCAGGTGTCATCCTCCTCCCCTTCACAGTTGACCCATTTCTTGGCCTAGGCCCCTTTGCCCATGCCCTCCTCTATGGCTCCTCTCGCCAACCATTCCCCCTCCCAGCACCCCCGTGGTCTGACAAACTACCAACCCACTCCCAACGCTCCTACACCCAACTCCTTTCGGCCCCAACCGCCATCCTCCCCACCGCCCATACACACTTCGTCACACCCACCAACTACTCCATCGACACCCAACCCTACACACCTTCACGCTGGGCACACCAATCACTCGCCCTCAATCTATCTACCCACTTGGCACAACACTTTCAACGCGCCATTACACACCAAGCTCGATCCCTCTATTCCTCCGGCTCATCCCCATCCTCAGTACTTGCCGGTCCATATATGCCTACGTCACGCCCTGAACCCTTGGATCCATTACCACACTTTCTACAAGCGGACGTTACCTAGTGACGTTCCTTTCACGCAATTCCCTTTATAGTTATTTATTTATTTACCGGTACCGTGTACATCTACCCCATCAGATTGTTGGCCTACTGTATGCCAAGATGAAAGCTCCGTATCTCCATGTCTTTCTACTTAGTGGCCTGCAGCTACTTTTGTTGGCAGCACCAGCAGAGGCATTCCAACTGAATCAACCTCTGACTCTCCTGGTGGCGGATGTTGGCGGCAAAACCAAAAAAGCAAATGTTCCGACGGCGAAAGATTCCAAGAGAACGCATTCGTCGCTTTGGGGAGCATCCGTATCCAACGGGAAAGACCAAGATGCGCCACAGCCAAGACGAAATCTAGGGCGTAGTCTCGTTCCCATGTCAACAGCAGTCATTATTGGATCGTTCAGTGTCTTTGAGATCCTCGAAAGCAGCCGCGAAATGGTGGCAAAATGGCATATTCAACACTGGCGAAGTGCCCATGGTATTACCCTCTTGGCGCTTATCCGTCTTTTCAGGTCAATTGCCATTTTACAAACTCAGGCTGAAGAGTTTGGCGAACAGGTGGAAGAACTGAATCCAGTGGAAAGCACACAAGATCCTGTTTCCCGACGACGTGCTGTTGGATTCATCAATAGGTTCAAGCGAATTATAGTTCGCGGGATTACATCTCCCATCACTGCGATTGTAGCCTGTTTCATGGCTGCTGCGGCGTCCTTGGTGGAAATAGTCGAAGACATGCGGCCAGGAGCACATCATGGCGCGGCTCTCTTGGCCTTGTCTGAACTGTATTATCAGATTCGACGGCTCAAGAAAGTCACTGGCAAACGACATCTATTTCGTTTCAAGGTTTCTCTGGGAGTACCCATTGCACTGGCGGCAGCTGTCTTTGCGGGTTTTGAATTATATGAGGATATCCAGCCTGGAGGTCATCATGGACTGGCCATTCTGGCCTTGGCCGAATTGGTGGAGAATATCAATCGTTCCAAGGTTCTATTCTGAACGCAGAGCACAGCTCACAAGGTGGTCATTATAACATTGCGGCGCAGCCTGCTCTCCTTTTCCTGCGACTAGCTGTTCATTGCAACTTTCTCCGCAGCAAGTACGGAGGCCAATAGACGTGGATAGCCTGACACAGCTACAGTCTTCGATGTACGGTGAGAGCTACAGGCGACTACAGATAGATCAACTTGGTTCTGATACTTTGCAGGACTGGCTACGGTACCGGTACCGTAGCCACTGTACCGGTACCGGTGCCGTATGCATACCGTAGGCGTGGAGCCCAAACCTTCAGTGTAGCTCGTAACTCAACAGCTTGCTGAGTCCTTTGGTGAAGACACCGTCGACCTCGGAATGCTGGGGTTATACATTCTGGATCTACTAGTACTGCTGTAGTCCTCAGAGGGGCAAAGGGCCACTTCCAATTGTTTGGAGACACAGTCAATACGGCAAGTTGAACAGAAAGCAATGGTGCTGCCGCCGATGCCCTCATTGCATCTGGAAAAGGACATTGGTTGACAAAGAGGGAGTTGAGGCGAAAGGAAAGGGGGCGATGCAAACATACTTGTGAATCATCACACCAGGACTGCCATGAATGGAACAACGTCCGTATGCTCTGCTTGGGTTGACACTCAGTCTACCTTTGATGACAAGGAAAGAATTGGTGCAACTGTTGACACAAACATCGTAGCTATTGGAAAGTCAAAATGGCGTGACATTGCCCAAGTACAGGCCGTACCGGTACCGTACGGTATTAATAGTCAACCCGGGCGGAACTTTGCAGGAAAGAGGAACGCAGTGCAACAGTGCTACTAGCCTAGAAGAATTCAATATTGTTCACTGGGACTCAGTTTCGCTCCGACGTGTTAAATCTTGGCGATCAACGCGCCTTAAAGGAGCACTTGGAGCTTGGCACCACCTCCACAACACAAAAGAGAGAAAAAGGGGGCCTCGTAGCAAAGAGGACAGCTGAGTGAAGCCAAGCCATGTCGACTGCCAATGCCACAAACCCCAACCCATCCATCTTGATTGTGGGTGGTGGCCCTGCCGGTCTTGCTCTGGCGGCTCATCTACTGACCAAAGGATGGTCCAGCGTTAAAGTGCTAGAACGTCGAGATCGAGCATCGCTTCTGGCCGATACCAATTCCTTCTATGACATGGCGTCCAGTGGGATTCAGGCGTTGTTGCGAGTTGCCGACGGCGCCGCTGCTCCTGGAATCTTTGACCAAGCAGTGGCTTTTCGGAAAACAGCTTTCTACACTAAAGGGGGATCCGGACAACCAGAATTCACCACCGAATGGAAAGATCGCAGCCTGGGCATGCCAATGTTTAATGTGAGTCGAGCTGTCATGCTAAAGGCTCTCTGCGAAGCCGTCGAGGCACTGGATGTCAACTGTATCCAATACAATACCAACGTCATCTCGGTGGATCACACGACGGGAGAAGTCCAGGTCGAAGGATCTGACCAACCTCTCAAGGCAAATCTCATTGTGGCAGCGGATGGAATCCATTCAAAAATCCGCAAACAGATCTTTGGCGATTCTGGACTCCGCAGTGATGGGATTATAGCCTGTTATGCGACACTCCCTCCTTTGACGGAAGAAGAGCAAAAGACATTCCCAAATCCGTCAGGTGTTGGAAGTGCCTATTGTACCATGGGACTCCGAGCAGATTTGATTGAATCTACTGCGGTCAACAAGGAGGCCACTATCTGGTATGCCAATTTCCTGGTAGACGGTAAACCCCACACAGTGGTACCCCCCAAACCGGATCGAAAAGATGGTTGGTTGGGAGAAGTCCGGCACCGCTGCGAGGATGGAATTCCCGTCCTCAAGGCGCTCTTGGATCGAACCAATGAAGATCAGATCCAGGTTGTCATGTGCAATGACCGACCGCCCCTGAGTACCTATCATCTTGGAAAAGTGGTTCTAGTTGGTGATTCCGCACACCCCTTTACTCCGTTTGCGGGGCTTGGGTCCAGTCAGGCGATTGTCGATGCCTTTGTGCTGGGAGAGGCACTGTTGGGGTGCGCCACTACCGAGCAGGCCGTTGACAAATTTGAGAAGCAACGACTAATGGCGGCCAATGCTCTCATGGAGGAGAGTCGAGCAATCTGCAGTACTGACTTGTCGTCTCGTGTCTTCTTTTGGGTACTGGAGCGTATGGTGTTTCCAGTCGCCAAACGGCTTGGGAAGATCGATGAGCTTCTGAACTATGTCATCAATGATAGCGCCACATTGGTCAACAACTTGGTGCCGTTCAAGATCAAGGAGGAAGAAGCGGCATACCAATCACGCTATGACAAAGCCAAGTCATCCTTGGAGGCTCAACTGGGTATGTGATGGATGCTAGCAATTAGATATAACGAGGAAAGTTAACTTGCAACTAAATACTGATAGCACTTGGAATCGAAGGACGATGAACCTACCGCATCAGGGAAGTCTCGGACCGAAAGTAGACAATGCATCAGAGATGGCAATGACGCCCAAATTGGAGCTTTCCTGCTTCCGTGGTGGTCAGAGCTTGCAACAAGCTTTAGCCCTAATTTCAAAACAAAACCTTTGTTGCGCTAGCTAGACAAGGTCACGTTCAGGGGAAACGTAGTGAATGCGAGAATCGCGCGGAAGACGGCTGCTGGTTGTGAGATGAAAGGGTTTCTTGGCGTGGCAACCACTTTCACCCAACATTCCCAGAAGACTTTAGACTAGTTTGGTTGTATTCACATCTAGTAAAAATGGACCAGGCATTGAATCAGCATTGGAAGAGACCGCTCTGTGCGTTTTCCTACAGCTGGCACCACTAGATGTGAATGCGGAAGCAGAACCGCATTGATGAGCTCGCGTTTCTCGCTCTGGCAGGCCTTTGAGCAATTCTTTGGGGGACCTCGCTTCTATCCTGGATGTTCGTGTGGATGCTACCCAGTCGAGATGACTGTTCGTACGGTAAGTTCCCAGCCAAAAAGTGAAAAAACTTGATTGCTCTGAACTGGGCCCGTCTGCTCGACCCCAGAGCAGGAGTTTTCAGCGCAATGACCCGTGGCCGCAAAGTCACTTCTACATTGTAGCTTTCGCCGCTGATCAAAGCGAACGACAAACTCCAGCAGAAGTGGGCGGAAAGAGATGAGAAAAACGATAGATGCAGGGTGCATGTAGTAAGGGAAGCTACGAGACAGGTGGAGCTCGAGCTATTGGCAAGGTTGCTCGAGGTCAGTTTTCCCGCCTCACCTCAAAATCAGGTTTGATGATTAATTAGAAGGGTCACTTCTCTTGAAGATGATGAGTTAAGGGTCCTTTTTCTAGTAACCCAGTTTCGTGTAATATCTTGGTTGCAGGTTCATTGTGACTGTCACTGGTCACCTGTCAACAAAGCGAAGCCTCCGTATCATACCATACTTCCCTCCAATCTTTCGCTCTGGTTTCTCACAAAACTAAAAGCAAAGCTTCCACACGACCATAGACACTAATACTTGCAAAGCCTCAACAACACACCAGAAAATGATGAAGCTCGTCCTCTTCTTTCTTTTCTGGGCACTTGGTTGTGCCACTGCTGAAGTGTACGATATTGCTGTCAACTACAAACTCGCTGAAAGGAATGGCGTATGCAGCGAAACCGAAGAAACCGAAATCAGTGAGATTTCTGCGGCTGCTTTGCGAGCTGTTGGCTTGCACTCCGCTGGAAACAGTGGGAATTGGTTGTCCGCTCCAAGCAACAACGGGAACGGTGGGAATAGCGCTGAACACCGTAACGATGGTAAACGAGCTCTGGGTCTTTGCGACGAGCAGATCCTGTGCAATAACGGATTGCTCTGGTATTGCAGCCACTGCCCATGCTGTGATCGTCGCCGCCAGCTTTTGCGGGTTTCAACAGAACGTCGAGCAGGTGAGGTGGAAGGATTGGCCTCTGATGCGGCTGTCGCCGAAATGGATACCAAAGACCGCATTGCTTGCCTGAAATACCCGCCCGAAGTGCAAGTCAACATGGCAAGAAAACAAGATTAAGGAGTCGAGGGAAGGAGATTGACTTGGGAAGCCGAGATGAAGACAGCGCTTACCGCCTCTGTTCATTTGATGCATAAAAACAGGATGACTAGATAGCTAGACAGTACCAGGTACGTGTAAAAGATTACATAAATATATCTTATACAGCCTACCTGTGGCTTTCTTCGCCAGCAAGCCAGCAAGCTAGCAACTATAGCAATTGACTCAAGAGGAGGTAAGGGAGTATGGCTCAATTCATAGTGCAAGGAATCTTGCCAAGTCGTATCGTTCGTGTTGCAGCTAGCGGCTGGAGGGTGGCTACCTCCTACATATCCCCTCTTAGATTTGACGTCATATTCCAAGCTTCGCTATCTTGATAATTTCGAGGTCTTCACCTTTGTCACTGTCACTGGATATTCTGGCAACGGCAATATCCCACTTTAACAGTGCCAAGAACTGTTTCATCTCTTTCAGATCCTGTTGTGGATTGGACTCTTGCAAGAAAGATACATGTAGCTGAGTAACTTTGGTTTTGGCCCCTGTAAAACTGTCCAAGTCATTCAAAGCATTCAACATTTTTCCAAGCTTCTTCAAACTGGAGGATGGCTCGGTGGTACTACTACATGTAGTAGCGCCGAGATCAAAGATAAAGAGATCTGGGTTTCGTCGTCCTATTCTTCCATCATTCCAAAATTCCGCGCTGATATGAAATTCTTTGTTGTCTGCTGCAATGACAGAGAGCCTTTCAATGGCATTGAATATATCTCCCTTGTGTAGCTCTCTGTTGCTTCGAGCTCCCTGTGAAGGGATGCCTTTGATACGTGCAAAACTCGTCAGTGTCATGTGCAAGATTCCTCCCCGATGCTTCTTCTTCTGTACTGCATCCACATGTTTCTTGGCCTGAGGAAACGAAACGATAGCTCGATTCAATGATTCGTCTCTTGGGACAAGATAGATTGCATAGGAGGCCATTCTTATTGCATCGGGCAAGCAGCTTTACCATCAAAAACGATGGAACAGATCTTTGCAAAACCCCCCGTTCAGGATCTTTGCGAAATTAGGGCAGGAAGGTTCGGTCTGAGGCCAGCATACCGTACAGTGGTAGAGTAAGGTAGATCTTTGGACGCACCTTTGACCATCACCACCAGGCAGCAAAATTCAAAAAGCAGCACCAGCACACCTCCGGCTCCAAACACCTCCAAAATGCCTGCCATTACTACAGCTGGTAGTATTATACTGGCAGTCAAGATGCCACCAACGACAGCAACTCTACTGTAGCACAAGTTTACCTCCAATAATGGCATCCAAAAAGCGTCGCTGCCATCAAATCCCAGCATGAAAAAGCACCAAGGAACGAAGTACCGCCCGTCATGTTCCGTGACCATGACAAAAGGGCTGGGAATAGTACCAATGGTGCTTCCAGAAAAGGGAAAAGAGACAGCACCAAGGAAGCACCAAGGAACGAAGTACCGCTCGTCATGTTGATACCGCAGCATGTTGATACCGCAGCAGTGGAGTTGTAGGAAGTAAGACAATTGATGATCTCCACAAAAGAGTACTGCTCACTGCTTCCACTCATTCATCATGACAACAATGCAAACAACAATGCAACCCTTCACGACCAAACCGAGAACAGTTGCTAGATGTGTCAAATTGCGAGTGACTAAATTTCCTGGGCTGTCAGCAGTAAGAGACTGCTGACGATGGGTGACTTACCCTTAAAAAGAAAACATTCCCGAGTTGGCATGGCTTTCAGTGTGTTAAGTGCAGGTGTTGTTGAAATTTTGTTGGTGGGATTTCACTTTGCAATAGGAACCTGCATGCCATCAGTACTGTATGAGACTTGTTGCCGTCGTATGAGACTTGTTGCCGTCGCAGGAGAATTGTTGCCGTCGCAGGAGAATTGTTGCCGTCGCAGGAGAATTGTTGCCGTCGCAGGAGAATTGTTGCCGTTGCAGGAGAATTGTTGCCGTTGCAGGAGAATTGTTGCTGTGCTGGATCATGTTGCCGTCGTCTTGCAGTCTGGAGATCTAACAGCACTAGCATCGTTGAGCCAGTTGTGCCTCCTCTTGGTGAGCCTGTAGCTGTTGTCCCAGCCTGTAGCCGTTGTCCCAGCCTGTAGCCGTTGTCCCAGCCTGTAGCTATAGCTATAATAGCTGTAGCTTGTAGCTGTCGTCCCAGCCTGTAGCTGTTGTCCCAGCCTGTAGCCGTTGTACTGTATATGTATCACTTACCACCCAGTAATATTCCATTCCACCGTAATCCACCGTTTTCCTAGAGGAATTCATTGAGCTTTGTAGCGTCTCACTAGCTTTTTAAAAAGGGGGTTTTAAGGAAACTGTTAAATCACCTTGTGCTCTTGTGGAATGCTTTGGACACTTCAAACCATAACCAAATGTGATGGTTTAAAGTTCGTAACATTGTTTTCTTTCCCTGAATGGTAATTAATTACTAGTGCATGCTTTAACACACCAAAAGCACTTCAAGAAGGCCTCTTAATTGCAGAATCAGCTTTTGTACTCTTTGCCTGTATTCAAAAAAGCCAAAGTAAATTGCACGAGCCACCCCCAGACCCCCTTCTATGTTTAAATCGTGAGGTGACCTCACGAATGAATGATTGAGATTCAATCAAGCCATTTGAGTTGTATTCACATGCGAATGTTGAAGATTACAGAAAGATCCGCCAGGTGGCACTTCATTCTTTCATTTAGCTTTCACGGCTCGCACTCGCAGCTCCAATTTCATCATTAGAAAAGGACAGCATGAAGCAGCCACCTTTTGCTGGCTGCAGCTTGACCCTTATTATCGTCCTTGCAACCACAAATGGCTTTTCACATAGGAGCTTGATCCACATCAGCGATCGCGGCAGTTTGCTTTCACCAGGAGCCACTGTACGTGCGTCATTTCCAGTTTTCTCAATCACAACACGCCTCCAAGGCACCAAATCCGACTCTAGCAGTAGTGGTAGTATACCCCGGACCCATCCAACTTTTGAATCGCAGCCGCTTGAAGTAGCCTCTGCGTTATTGTCGAAATCTCCCACACTGGACGCGGAACAAGCTCTGGCTTCCCTTGCCGCCACGTGTCTGGCATTGTTGGCGGGCGACGAAGAAGCTGCGGAAGCCCTCACGGGAGGCGCCGAGCGCAAAAGAGAACTGATTGGCAAAGCATTTCAAGCCTACGATGTTTGCGAAAGTGGAACACTCTCGGTCGAGGAAGCACGAGCTCTGTTTGTGGATTTGGCGCGCAATATCGTTAGTGATCTCGCCACTCCTTCGAATGACCGGACGGAAAAGCAACAATTGGCATCCTACCGTCCCTCGGAAGGCTCCATTCCGGGAGCAGCAAGAGCTCATGCCAAACGAGTACTGGCCATGGATGATTCGGGGAATACCATTGAGCGGATTGCCGCCAAGCTGCTATTGATGGCAGATGTGGACCGGGATGGACGCATTTCTCTGCCGGAATTGGCTAATTTATTTGACACCGTTCATTCTGCCAATGTCGAAGAAAAAGGCAACAATAATAATAATGTCGATACCTTTCCTCAGCCTCTCATGGCATTGGCTGGATCTTTGCAATTGCTGCCAGCCATTGAGGGAAGGGACGTGATTTCCGCTGCTTCCAAAGCTACACAATGGAACATTGGGGTGCCAGGCGACGATCATACACTGAGACGAGTGGAACTGATAAAGGGACAACTCTCCATTGTGGGACTGGGGCGATCCGCAGATGCATCCACCTACTTTTTGCCAGAGCTGGGCATTGTCTTTGACGCCGGTATTCATGTCAAGTCGCTCCAGCCCAAGACAGTGTTGCTGACACATGGTCATCGCGATCACATTGCTGCTCTACCAACGCATGCCGCAGCAAAATCAAAGCTCTTTTGCCCCAAACCCATTGCTCCCTTGGTCCGGAGGTTTCTTTTGGCAGAAGCACAATTGAATTATGGGGATACGTCACAAACCGATGAAGAAACCACTTCAGCACTGGGTGAATATGATATCCAAGGTGTCGAGGATGGAGATGATATATTATTGCCTCGGGAGTATTACCAGGGGTCTCCCACACCGATTGGTGTAGAGGTCTTTCGAGCTCCTCACAAGGAGGGCATACCGGCAGTTTCGTATGGCTTGTACCGCATCAAGAAACGGCTCAAACCGGAATATGCTTCCTTGCCAAAAAGCGATCTGGGTGCGTTGATTCAAAAAGACATTCAGATTACGGAAAGCTACCAGGAAGGTCTACTATTTTACACTGGTGACACCACAATCAATCTGCTCAAAGAACGATGGGAGGAAATCCTTCCCAAGTACAAACATGTCATTCATGAGGTTACCTTCCTGGGGAAGCCCAGCTCAAAGCTAGACGAATCGGCAAGACAAAAGGGTCACACGCATTACTCCCAGCTGCATCCTTGGATCTGCTCCTTTCCTGAAACCACGTTTGTCTGCGTCCATTGGAGTTTACGATATTCAAGAGAAGACCTCATCAACTTCTTTGAGGACGAATATGGCGGCGTTCCAAAGAATGTTGTTCTGTGGGTGTAAATTAACTCACGAAAAAGGCATTGCACTTGAAATTGAAACTGATGTTCTAGACCTGCGTGGTTCTATTGGTTTTACCAACCAAAGGTCCGATCGGGCATCCCCTTGCCTGGCGAGCACATCAGGTTGCACTACTTATAATTTGACTGATGCAAGATGAATTCAGAGACAGTCTTCTCTCCTTATGTGGGCATGTGGCAAAGTGGACTAAAACCATTGGGTTGAAGATGTGGCCGTCATAGCGCACACCAAATCAAAATTTCAACTGCTAATGCAAGCGCTCTAGAGGATACCAGTACATGGCAGACCTAAAAGCATGGTAGACTCTGCATTTTCAGGCGTTACTACTGCTAGTAGGCTTGCTGACATTGCATTCCAATCAGTATACATTTTGGTTCAGGTGCATTCTATGTTAGTCTATTCTAAATCATGCTTCAACTTCCTCACAGGCTTAGTGGGCAAAACTCCCTCTGAGGCGACGGACCCCTGCACCATTCTCCTGCTTGTGTTCCTGACAGCCAGTACAATTTCCAGTGCAACCACTTGGAATGGTAAGGTTTCCATCCAAACCATTGAGATAAGGTCCCCCAATGGTGAAGTTTCCCATACTGATTTGGCAATCATCATTGATGCTGCATGCTCCATCAATACACTGAATACTGATTGGGCCTTCAAACTGTGTTCCTTCTACGGGGCAATCTTCGAGAAATGGACGGATGCATTTTGCCAGCTTGGGGCACCATGTATAGCCAGCATCAGAAACACAGCCATGTTCATCTGGACCACTTCCAGACATGGCAGTTGCTGTAACTCCTTCTTCACTTGCAACGTCAACACCACCAACAGCTTGGGCGTTGCCACCCATTGCTGTGGTTCCAACATTTGATGCATCTGGACAGTCTGCCCCCCAGTTCCTCATGCAACTATTCGTTGCAGCACACCATGTATAGCCAGCAGTTGCCACGCAGTTGTGATTGTCATTATGTGGACTGGCAGTGGGTGCTTCACTTGGACAGGGGGTAACCCATTCCCTCACACACGTGTTCAGTGTAGAACACCAACTGTATCCTGCAGTTGCCACGCAGTTGTGATTATCATTTTGTGGGCTGGCAGTGGGTGCTTCGCTGGGACAGGGGGTATCCCATTCCCTTACACAAGTCTGAGTGGTAGGACACCATGTATAGCCAGCAGTTGCCACACAGTTGTGATTGTCATTTTGTGGGCTGGCAGTGGGCGCTTCACTTGGACAGAGGGTATCCCATTCCCTCATGCAAGTCTGAGTGGTAGGACACCAACTGTATCCAGCGCTTCCCAAACAGCCATGTTCATCTAGATTGCGAGCAGCTTGGGAGTCAGCTTGTGATAATGCAACCATGGTTGCAGCCAGAAATAGGCTGAGAGAGAGTTTTGAGTTATTGATGAAAGACTTCATGTTGCTTTTGCTGGTTTTTTTGAGTTGTTTTGGTTTTCTGTTTTGGTTTTGTTTGGCTTTGTTTGGCTTTGGTTTTGCTTTTGTTTTTGTGAGATGAACATCCAGCAGCGTAATCAGCTGGGAGGATTGGAATCTAGCAAGCATTAGTTTGGAAGGAAACAGTTGAGCTTGGGGGATTGGAACCAAGCTATCCAGCTCGATGCGGTAGCCGCTGCTAGGAAAGCATGTCCGCGCCACAGTGCGCTGCGCTAGCTACCGGTACCAATAGGTGGCTAGCTAGCTAGCTAGCGAGCCACTGTGAATGAAACTTTCTTGCTTTTCCCAAGCGAGGAGGTCGCATGCACGACCGCTCCGGAGTGGGGGACTTACCGGTACGGAGTTCCTGTGCGTCTGCGTTGAACCACGTCAGTGCATGGAAATAACATCGAATCGAAGATTCCCTGCCACCGCCTCAGCTGGGGCTGGGGGCAACAGTAACTATGCAGCTAGTAAAACACCTGCACAAGTATTTGCCTTGGTAGGTGAATGCTAAGGAGATAGTCCCCCAATCCC